AGTAATAGCAATGTCTGCATATCTGTTTATGATTTTGTAGCTTTGTCTTGTATGTACAGTGTAAGTAACAAATATATAGTAGAAACCCCTTAAGAGTGAAACTGTTTGATCTCCTATCTTTTTACACTGAATCAATATCTAGAAATCTGACCGTTCTACTATATTTGTTACTTGTACTATATGGCAGTATCCAGGACCTTCAAGAATTGTTGAAGGTCCTGTTGTGTAACCACGACAATTTCACTAAGATATCGGTTAATTGCACGCCGATGTTTTCTTACAAATATATAAGTAAAACAAAGAATAATCAAATATTATATTTGGTTTGTGTTGTTATATGGAGCTGAAACTTAGACTCTAAAAGGTGTTACAATAATCTCCTAAAAATATTAGAGATGTGGTTGCAAAGAAATAGAGCAATTTCTGTTTGTGAATTATTATTAAACAATATAGATATCATACCTAGCCCATAAGGTTACCGTTACCTAGTTTATGTTCCTAAAGAAAACTCCAAAATCCTTCAGATTAGAATGAAACGTAAGATCGAGGGTCATAGAGAAACTGGGCTATAGCAAATGTCATTTATGAAGAACATTCGTGATCAGATAGGATAATATAGTGTCAAACAACTATGTAGATTAATTATAGTACCGAGTTAGCCAATATACCCCGCAGGACAGGTAGGAAAATTCTCATTCTTATCATCGTCATCAATCAGCCCAGATTTGTCCATTTTTAAACATAGTCCTCCAGATATTTTCATCTACATTTTTCTGTTCTGCTTCTTTAGTATCGTTGGTTCATCACGTGTAGGCTTCGCTGGTCTGCCAAATAAACATATCTTTCCACATTTTTTATGGGCGATTTCTCGATTTGTAGGGGACGACATTCGTCATCAATTTTGTTTTTCCATAGTTCATCTTTAAAACGACTCTCTGTATTACTTGCTGTAGTTGTTGTAGCATAACTCTGGCTTCTTCTTAGTCGTGTTATGCAAACAATGTCATCGGCATATCGTAGAGAATTTAGTTTCTTTCCATCCATGTTAATGCAACAAAAATAAAAACCAGGGATCTGTTATATTCGATAGACTTAGATACATTAGATATGGATGTTTATTCCGTGGCCTCATCGAAACCCTACCTGTTCTTGTTACTGTTGTTGTTGTGACCTGTTGTTGTGTCAGTATTCGAAGTAAAGAGCTTGCATATGTAGTTTAGTAAGCTAATGGACCTATAGTTCGGAATAACGGAATGTTTTCGTTATATAGATATAGATTAAACAGTGTTTGGAATCGCGGCATCAAAGTAGACCTACTGGTTTAATTGTCTCAATAACTACATTATCTTTTGAAGCTCTATCGTTTTTCATATTTTTGAGAGCATATTGAATTTCCTCTCGTGATATGTGGTATATCCTCCGCTTCTGCATTCTGTAGCTTTCGTATTGGCTGGTGGATGAGCTAAAATAAGTTGTCTTTGATATAATCTTTCATTAAAACTTTTTAATTTTAAGCAGGATGATTTCCATTTTGTCATTTTTTATTTTTTTCTTCAGTGCTTTTTTGCTTTTGTTTTCTTCTATAGTTTTTATAATTTTTTAGCTCTTGTATTTTTTAATGTTCCGTCCCTATAGACTTAGTGATTTCTCTATTTATGGTGTTTATTTCTTGTGATTCAACATTTCCTTGTCTTTAAGTACTCCACAATCTTCCACTTTTTGTTTCGTATTTTTCTTTAAATTTTTTCTTCTTTTTTTATGTTCGTGGTCAAACTTTCCTTGGTCTTGTGTTATTTACATTATCTTTTATTGTGTGCCTGAGTTACTGCTGATATATTTGTCAATGTTAAGTTCAGTCGTTAGCCATATCCAAGGTTTAAACTTATGCCTTTTTATCATCTTCAGTCTTTATTGCTTAGTATTGATTTTTATAGTTGCGCCGCCGACCATTCTATGATCGCTTGCTACCGAAAACCGTTTGAATATCGTAACATTTATAACTAGGTGTTTTTTTTTTATTGATGATAAAGTTGATCTAGCTTTTAGCATCATTATTAAAGCTAATAGCTAATAGGAAAAGTTCTGTGGATTTATAAGACAATACGATAAGTGTGACAGTGTGTGAGGTACAACCAAATCAATGCTTGTGAGTCTACTGAAAATATGATTAGCAGCTGCAGCTATGTAATTACCTTTAGAAATTATTATCTAATAATTTTTATAATTTAATTCCTCGGTGCAAAAACTTCCCAAAGCTTATTACATAGCTGCATTTCCGGGATGTATCTTCTGCTCTGTCGATCGGATAGCCAAGCGGACTGAGCGGCTGGCTTCTCCTTCGCTTCAATGCGAGAGATGTCAGTTCAATCCCCAGCTCGGTCAACAGAAAACAAAAAGGCTAACCCAGCAGTTTAAAATTCTAAATGAATCTGCGGCTTAGTCTAGAATATGCTGGTATCTGATCGGCCTATGTTGGAGCAGTACGGCAAGAGATAAGGGCTTGTGGTTCGGTGATACTCCTTCATAGATTCATAGATCCATACCGGAAGGGGCGTGTGCCGCCTAAATACCGGATATATATATATATATATATATATATATATATATATATATATATATATATATATATATATATATATATATCCGGTGTTTAGGAGGCACATGCCTTTCCGGTAGGGATCTATGAAGGAGTATCACCGAACCGCATGTTCGGAAAGATTTCCGAGGTTAGTACAATGAAACCTAGAGCTAAGATTAATATTATTACTAAAATTAATATCAAACTCACCAGTCTTCCGGGTTGAACCGCGTCGATATCCATTTTGCCCAGCTTTCGGCATTTTTTCTGATGCCTTCCTCAGGGCTTCCGAGGTCTCAGTCTCCCGAGACCCAGACACTACTACACTGTTCACTGATTACTGCGCTGTCACTACTACATTGCTGTAATAGTGACAGCGTAGCAGCACTGTACAAACAGTAGAACAACACAGTAGAACAACAAAGAACAATAGAAACAACGAAAGCGACTTCTACGGTACACAAGAACAAATATGGAGATTCATAAGAAACCAACAGAAAGAAATGGCAGAATTGAAGGAATACAATAACATACCAGCAAACGAATGAGAAAGATACCTGACGGAACTGTTTAAAGCAAAGAAAAATAATCAACACAGTAACGTACCTGAATTAAGCCACGAAATAGAAATCAGTTTTCAGAAAGAAGAAATAGTCATAAATTCGCTCAAAAATAGAGTTACCAGGATCAGAGGGACTAACTAACGAGCTTCTAAAACATAAGGGAGAAAGTATAACCCTATAGATGACAAAATTTATACAAAAACTAATATTGCACTACAAGATACCAGACGCATGGAGAAAGAGCATAATAATACCAATGTACAAAAAAGAAGATCAAGACAATTAGAGATGTATAAATGTACTGAACAGCGCATTTAAGCTTACCACAAAAGTTCTAACCAACAAAAGCAATAAACTAACAACTTTGTCAGATGAACAACAAGGATTCGGATCCGGAAGCTGCGTAGACGCTGTATTTTAACTAAGACAAACCACAGAAAATGCCATCGAGTACAATAAACCAGCGTATCTATGTTTTATAGACCTGACAAAGGCTTTCGATCGAATCCTAGTCGAAGACGTCTTACACCTATTGTATAAAAGAAACATATCAATCAATATTATACAAACCATCGAAAACATCTACTTCCATAATCGTATGCAAGCAAAGATAAATGGAAAACTAACACAGTGTATACCAGTACAAAGCAGAGTCAGACAGAGTGACTCGTTAAGCCCACTTCTCTTTAATATAATAATGGACAAAATAATATAAGCAGTCCATAAAGGTCATGACTACAGAATGGGGAACAAAGAAATCCAAATATTATGTTATGCAGATGACGCCGCATTAATCGCCGAGTCAGAAGACGAGCTCAATACAACAGCTAAGAAATACAAGCAAGGTTTAGATATCTAGAAATATATGTAATTAGTTACGGAGATATTGAAGAAGTACGACAACAAACTGTAGAAGCAAGTAAAGAGGCGGGATCTCTTAAAGACACAATCTGGAAGAACAAACACCTAATGACACAAAACCAAAAATCTATAAAGCAGCAATTACACCTATATTAATATACACGGCGAAGACAAGACCTGTCACATTTAAAACGAGACGACTACTAGAAACAACCCGAGATAAAAAGAGATAAAAATACCCCGACGAATTTCTGGGAAAAGTCTGTTGGATAGGGAGAGAAGCGAAAACATAAGAAGAGCATGCAGTAGAGAAGATATAAATGGATGGGTGACAAAACGAAAACAGGAGTGGAACGAACATACCAGTAGAATGGCAGAGAATAGAATAGTACGAATAGCACGATATAAGTCACCAAACGGACGAAGAAGTATTGGCAGACCAAGAAAAAGATGGTGCGAAAATTTAAACAATTTAGGAGGCCAATATTGAAAAAGAAATAAGTTTAAAGCCTACATACAAGAAGGAAGAAGAAAAGAATGTTATAAACCCTGACTTCGGTCACTCTTGCGGTATTATTCCCGTATCATTTACCGCATTGAACAAATCTGCCAATACTTCTCTCTCTAGTTCTACTAGTTCCTCTCTCTCTTTTTACATTGTTTCATCAAATGCATTTCCTCATCTGTTTTGATTTTGTCCTAAATTATTCATTCTATTTCTTTATTCTTTTGTAGACCTTTTCCTTGATATTTATTTCTTTTTTCCATTCGTAATAGCATTTCTTCTGTCATCCACTGTTTTTTAGCCTCTAACCTGTGTTGTGTCCAAACTTTCCTGAGCTGATTTCAGTAATATATATTATTATTTAATATATTTTAAATTATTCCACTTTTTTATATTATTCCACTTTTATAATGTTCTGTTAACTTATTTAATATTATAATCGTCCTTTACTGGTACGTCCCCGTACTATATATACTATAAACCCCTTTCATTCTTTAAAATTTATTCTGTGACATTTTTATTCGATTAAGTGAGTCAATAAACACATTTATATAATAATTAATAATCACGATGTTACAACTGACGAAAGTGAAGAGCAAACAATTTCGATGATGATAGAGGAACCAATTTGTTTTAATCAATTTCATACCCCAATTGAGATAATTATTAACATTTGTTTCGGTTTAAATATGAGGGTGTAACGATGCATAATTCAATTAAAGCCACAATGTGTAACCTCGCATAACTTATTTGATTAAGGATTTATGAATATTACACCTAAATGGTTTCGTTAAAAGGGCTTAATTGCCAATGGAGAGTTTGTTGACCGCAAAATCACCTTAGATTTTATTAGAAATTTAGATGAACTCACTGAGTAGCGTTACAAAAATGTTTACACAATTTTACTTTAAAATAAGTTCTTTTTACTTGATAGACGATATATTTGCACAAAGGGACATAATATACAATATACAAACACTCATTGTTAATCATAGCTTTTCAGAATTTTGATTTTAAAATTTGATCTCTTTTTGAATGTCCGACATCTTAACAGCGGAATCTTTCAAAGAGCAGAGTTCGTTACTCGCCAATTGTTGTTTCACGACATATTCAACACCATTGGCACCAAGTACAGTTGGTAAGGATAAAAATACTTCTTGAGTCAGATCATGAAAACCCTTAACCATGACAGATACTGCATGGACATGATGAAGATTTTTTAAAACTGTATTTGCCAACGACGCTGCATTAAGGCCCATAGCCCAGTTGGTATATCCTTTTAGTTTGATGATTTCGTATGTTGAATTGACTACTTCTAAATGAAGCTTTTTCCATTCTTCTGGATCGTCATCTGTACCAACCTTAGGTTGAACGTCCTTTAGACGCACTCCCGCGACGTTAACTCCAGACCAGACAGGAATTAAAAACAAAAAAATACTAGAGCAACCATGTTCTCCAATAATCCATCCGTGAACACTCTTGGTGCTGCAGCCCAACCTTTTCGAAATTAAAAACCTAAATCTGGACGTATCAAGGTTGGTTCCGGAACCAAAAACTTTGTGTTTTGGCAGCCCTGACAATTTCCAAGCCACGTAAGTCAAAATATCACACGGGTTGCTGACGACCATTAAAATTGTGTCAGGAGAATACTGCACGAGAGGTGGAATGACATGTTTGAAGATATCGGTGCTTCTTTGGACCGAAGCTAGACGTGATTCACCTTCTTTTTGTTTGGCTCCGGCAGTGATAATGCAAATCTTTGAGCCTGCTGAATCTTTGTAATCTTTGCTCGCAACAATTTTGGGATTTTTTAAAAACAAAGCTGCATGTTGAAGATCCATTAATTCACCTTTTAACTTGTCTTCTGTTTCACCTATCATGACGACATCGTGGGTTATATCCTGCATTAGCAAACTAACAACAGTAGCCATTCCTACTGCTCCTGTACCAACAACTGTGACTCTATTGGAAGTTTTTAGAACAGATCTCCCCACAGGCGTAAACAAACCTTCTCTGACACTGATATTGGTGGACAAACCACGCCACACCAACTTTGGATTTGCAAAAATTAATTTGCGCATGTACATGTTGTTATGTGTTATCCACTACAAATTTGGTTTTAGCGGTAAATGTATCACTACTTCTAATGAACTGATAAAAGAATAAAAATATGCCAAAAAACATTTTGATTGACGTATATGTCAACCTTCATCATCATCACGACCATACAGTATCTGTCATGGCTACGAGTTTTAGTGATCTCGATTACAAGGTATTTATCCCTACCAACTCTGTTTGGTGCCAATGCATGGCAAATTGCATTAGGATGCCACATGTAAAAAGGCTAATAAATAATGCCGTTGAGGCAACTGTTATCAAGGAACAATACAAAGAAGAGGATATCTTGACCCCGCGTATATCGATGATTCCAACAAACGTATCATTTGATTTTAAACGTTTACAATTTCCCGTGCGTTTGGCTTTTGCAATGACAATAAAGCTTTGTTCACAAAGCCAACTTTTGGATGTTTGCGGAATAGTTTCCATGTTTTGCGTACGGACAATTATTCGTTATAATAAAACAGATTTTAATTCAAGGTGATTACTTGGCAACATCGCACTTAACGAATCCCTTAACAATAACTTTTCAACGAAATCGTATTGAACTTATCAATTTTGCAGAGGTGTAACAAAAAAATTTTTAATTATTTATTTAAACACATAAGTAATTACGTAAAAATTAAATCTACGACCGATTTAGTGACTAAATTATCATGTCTTTTAACAGGTATCATATAGTTGTCTAACAAAATAAAGTAAAATTTTATTCTTATTAAAGAGTATCTAATACAGAACTTCAAAAAACAGAAATTTTAGAAATACTTAATTTTTTTTCATTAGAGTAAAAACAATCTGCAATCTTAATTACATATCATTACACATCATTCTCTATTTATAGAATTGCTGTGTGCTGTAAACGTTATATTTGTTTTTTTAACTTAATTTGAAAGTTTCCTTGTGTTTATTTGTTTATATAATTATAAAAATATATTGAGAAGTTCATATAAATTAAAATGAATTAAGCTAAACTATTATCATGTAAATGCGTGTATATAGTAGTGCATTTGTTTATGTTAGTAAATTCTCGAAATATGAAATGAAGACGGCACTAACTAATAAAGAGGTAATAGCTTTGTTAGAAGAAAACTTAAATTGTGAAAATGCTAACATACTTAATGTGGTTTATTTGCCGCCGAGATTAGATTAGAAAGTTTCTGATGTAGAAGACATTGATCTTCTTTTTTTTTTCCTTCTAGTATGTAGGCTTTAAAGCATGTTTCTTCTTCAATATTAGCCTCCTAAATTGTTTAAATTGTCGCACTATCTTTTTCTTGGTCTGCCAATACTTATTCGTCCATTTGGTGACTTATCTCGTGCTATTTGTACTATTCTATCTTCTGCCATTCTACTGAAGTGTTTGTTCCACTCCCGTTTTTGTTTTGTATCCATCCATTTATATCTTCTATGTTGCATGCTCTTATGTTTTCGCTTCTCTCCCTATTCAACAGACTTCTCCCTAATATTTATCAAAGTATTTTCATCTCTGTTGTTTCTAGCAGTCGTCTCGTTTTAGATGTGTCAGGTCTTGTCTCCGCCGTGTATGTTAATATAGGTCTAATTGCTGCTTTATAGACTCTTGTTTTTGTGTCTTGTCTTAGGTGTTTGTTCTTCCAGATTGTGTCCAGAGATCCTGCTGATTTACTTGCTTTTAAGCTTTGTTGTCGTACTTCTTCTTCAACATCTCCGTAACTAGTTATATTTATTCCCAAATATCTAAACCTTGCTTCCTGCTTTATTATTTTCCCATCAATTTCGATTTTACACCGTAGTGGGTATTTAGATGTTGTCATACATTTGGATTTTTTTGCTGTTATTATCATATTGGATTTCTTAGCTGTTGTATTAAAGGTATGTGTGTTAATCTTTTGAGCTCGTCTTCTGTCTCGGCGATTAATGTGGCGTCGTCTGCATAACATAATATTTGGATTTCTTTGTTTCCCATTTTGTAGCCATGACCTTTACGTACTGCTTGTATTATTTCGTCCATTATTATATTAAAGAGAAGTGTGCTTAACGAGTCACCCTGTCTGACTTCGCTTTGTACTGGTATACACTTTTTGATAAAAAAGTAATTGAGAGCATTCTATATTTTACAAATATTTATAAGTCACAAAAAACCTTAATAATTATGGAAAACCATAATTAAATACCATAGAGTCAAGAGATCCATAAAACTGGATCACCCGATATTTAAATATATTTATACATGGGACCGATTTGAAAAACGTCTTTTTTTATTGTAATAATTGTAACATATTCGAAGTGAATTAAAAAAATATATTTAAACATAAATAAAGTTAGATTAGAATTGACGCATAAGGTTGTCCGATATTGATTACTCAATTACACCAAGGCCGAGATACTCAACAAAACAAAGAAGATGTATTTGGTGACTTTTCTAGTAACTTTCTTGGGTGTGAATTTATCTTTTTGGTTTACTCTTCCTGGTTAAAAAACAGAGTATAGTAGACATTATGTCGTCCGTGTTATGTTGCTACGCTGCGAAAATGCTGTCAAACGTGTCAAACTAAAACCCTGAAAACGCAAGATATTTTTAAGATCCCTAACCAAATTTAAAAAAAAGCGGAAAAACAACGCAAACGTTACTACCACATAAGTCGTGAGATGCCTACGACAGGGCAATATGCAAGGGAATATGCAAAACCACAGTTTTCATATTATATAATGTAAAAAATTACATATTTCAAATAATTTATCTTTTAACTAAGCAATAAAAACACAATAATAAACTAGAATGACATTAAATATATTTTAATTATTTATTTTTTATTTTAGTATGTATATTTATGAGTATATGAGATGAGTTGTTTGAACTTTGGAAAATTTAATTCTAATTTAAGATATAAATATTATCAAGGTTGGTATCCTTTCCTGCTTTTTCAAGCTTTTATATTTTTATAAGATTCATATGTTGCAAATTGTAACAACGAAACAAAAGATATATACCATTTTTCAAAGTAAAACACTTGCGCGTCACGATTTCTACAAAGTGACGAAACTTGTATTTAAAATTTCCATAACATCAACCTTGGAGTTCAAATTTTCATAACACAGCTAATAATGGGAAACCCATACGGAACTACTCGATCTTTCATAGGCGTCAACATGGTGTAATAATCAGAAAAATCTAATCATCATTATATTGGTAATTTTAGAATTATGTTGATTAAATCACCAAAAACATTTTTTGTTATTATTAATAATATAAATTTTACGAAATAACTCTTTAAGTCTAATATTCCACAAAATAAAAATTTTAATTAAATATATTAGACATTTGTACGCAACTGATACAAAAATACTTCAAATTTTATTGACAATTCAGCGGGTGGCCAAAGTGTATTAAGTGTTGTCGCTTTTTAAGAGTAGGAATTTTGTTTATGGTTTGAGCAGTTTTGATGTCTTACACAATTTGATCATAATATAATATATATTAATAAATTGTATTTTTATTTAAATTTATTATTTAGTATTACGATTGTGATATGCGAAAACAAATAAATAGTCTGTAGAAAGCTGATAAGTTTTCATATAAGATAGATTATTTTGAACAAGAAATAATGGCAGGACGTTTTTACTATTAAAACCCTAAAAGAGGTGGGGAAACGACAGGTAATAGCGAACATCGGGTGATTGCGAACATCACAGAATACATGCATAAGTCATCTGTATCATTCCGTTGTAAACTTCATATCGTGTTTCCTACTAGTCTGCACGTAGTGGCATAGATACACAGTTGCCTCGTATTTGTGGAATTTTTTCCAGCGATTTATTTGTTTTTGGTGCTTGCACTACAATTTTAGCAATTCAGAAAATAAGGTATGTACCTCAACACTTGATGGTTTCATTTAAATTGTTAGAGTTAGTTAACTTACTATTATTTAACCTATAAAATTGTCCTATTATGGGGAAGTTAAATGCATTTATATTATGATTGTTTCGTTTCTTCATATTCATTTCCAAATCGGGTAATCACGAACAGATGTTCGCGATAACCCGCCAAGTGTTCGCGTTTACTCTTTTAATAATTTGGCTTAGATTCTTTACATTTTTGCTTTTCTTTTGCTTATTTAACAATTTGTATCTTTTTAGATGCCTTTTAAACGGAAACGAAGTACCAACAAATTTTCATGGACTGATGATCAAATGAAAGCTGCTCTAAAGACAATTGAAGAAAGACGTTATGGCCTAAGGGAAGCTGCACGCCAATTTAATATACCTGTTACAACATTACAAAACAGAGTCTTTAGAGGCTTTTACAAAGGCAGGCTGGGTGCAAACACTTTCTTTTTAAATGAACAGGAAGAAGAAATGAGTCGTCCTTTACTAACGTTATCTAAAATATTTTATGGATTAACCCCAATTCGGTTGGGAAAGAGGCCTTCGCCTATGCAGAGAAATTAAACTTAAAACATAGTTTCAACAGAGAAAAACAAGAAGCAGGTAAAGACTGGTTATATGGATTCATGTCAAGGCAACCTGAGTTAAGTTTCCGTAAACCTGAAGCAACAAGTCTTAATCGCATTCAAGTTTTCAATAAGGATTAAGTCTAAAGGTTTTATGACAATTTGGGTAAGCTGTACAAAAAATACAAGTTTCCACCTACTCGAATATTTAATGTCGATGAAACTGGCATTACAAACGTAAATAGACCTAATCGGATCATTGGACCTAAAGGCCAAAAACAAGTTGGAGCCGTTACAAGTGGAGAAAGAGGCAAGAACGTGACGGTATGCTGTTGTATGAGTGCCAGCGGATCTTTTACACCTCCACTATTCATTTATCCAAGACTGAGAAGAAACCCTGCTTTAGAACAGGATGGACCTCCAGGTTCTTTGTACTCCTGTTCAAAAAGCGGTTGGATGAACGAAGAAGTGTTCCTGTTTTGGATTCAACATTTTGCGAAAACCAATAAACCTACAAGAGATGATCCCATTTTACTGGTGCTGGACAATCACTCCAGTCATTGCTCTAATGCAGTTTATAATTTTTGCAAAGAAAATGGTATCATTATGCTGTCAATACCTTCACATACCTCGCAT